TTGAGTCCGCAGGCCGACGCTCTATCCACTGAGCCAAACCGGTCAGGGCAGCAGGCTACTTTTTAAGTTGATAATTTTGTATGGCCTGTGAATGATCTTATAAATATCCAAATGGCCCTTGGCAGAAACAAGGTTCCCCACCCCTACCTTAGATTCTTTGCTCCTAAAATGGAGACAGATACATTTCTGTGCCCGTTACCTTCACATGGATGCACAAGGATGCTCTAACTGCACCTAGATCATTTTAAAAAACGGCCTTTGGGGGCTCATATTCTATATACCCCAATATTTTTTATTGCATACCTTTTCACTTTATGCCTTGATGTAGACTGTCTATAAATAAGGGAGTGTCTATAAATCTCCCCAATTTATATGCAGAATGTGGTATGGGGCCAAGTATTTCATTATTCTTAAAGAGGTCTACATTGCTAACAGGGCTGAGAGTCACAGCTCTAGGCAGTTTTCTCAATTTAAGCACCTATATTTGGACTAGAGACCCAGTGCACGAAATTCGTGCACAAGTAGGGTCCCTAGGCCTGGCTGGCAATCAGGCCCAATCTGTGGGGTGACTGGCGGGGCCCCTGCTGGCACCCACCTTGGCTGGCCTGGGGCCTGAAGGTTGAGGGCAGCTCCTGCATTGAACGTCTTCCCCCTGGTGGTCAGTGCGTGTCATAGTCAGTGGTTGGTCTGCCGATCAGTCGATTTGCATATTAGGCTTTTATTATATAGGATATATAGGATAGTATTTTTTTACATTTAAAAGGATTTTCACATTTTTAGTTTTTTTTTTTAATTTTTACAATAACTTTGTCAGGGAAGTAGGACAAGGATTGTTACTGTCATTTTTATAAAGAAAGCTAAGTCCCAGGCTAGAGGTAATTATTATTACAATCTAGATCTCTTACAAATAAGTCTTGAGAGAATTCTACCAAGCAGCCACAATTTCAGATCTTATTGAATTGGTACTGTATGCAAAATATTAAAACCCTAGGTCCACTCACAGGGAGAGGCCAGTTATATTTCAGATCAGCTTTTAATAGCTCTTTATAGTTATTTAACTTAGAATTGCTTTAAGGATGCAATGGAGACCATAGACAGGCAGCAGAATAAATAAATATTGCATCTTTTTGCCTAAATGGAATTTGACTAATTTGTTCACCTGCATATATGTTATATTTTCTATCCTTACTTGTTTGCCTGTTTCATTGTTTATTCATTATTGAGTTATGCTGTGGTAAGTGTGGAATCATTAGGTAATGGTACATATACCATTAAGAGTCTTTGGGGTAGGTGCTTAACAAGCACTGCAGGTGATTCTGATGTTCAGGTAATTTGAAAACCATAAAACTAAATCATCTCTTCTTGGTATTTAGTGAATCTAATCCTTCTCAGCATAGGCTATAATTTCAGTTTATATGTTTTTATCCACATCAATTTTCTGTAGAATTATGACTTATCATTTGGGAACAAAATTATAGAAATTATAGACTTCCTTTTTAATTTTCTCTAGCACAGTGATAAACTATCATTTTGACACAGCAAATATTGATTCAACCCCTTTGGGGAAGTAAATGAGAACAGTGTCTTTTCTCCCATTTTCTCTTTGGTTATCTGACTGCTGTAAGGTAGTCCTTGAGCTCCAGGCTCATAACCAGACATATTTTTCTTAATGAGTGGAATTGGGATTAGCCATAGAATTGTAAAGAATATGGCCAGGGTTGCTTGCCAGCAACTCCCTAGAGTGAGGTTACAAGCAGATGCAAGAGGAAACTCCCAACTGTTGAGCAACGAATGGAGTTAAACTGGAAATATTGGATTGGGATTCGGGACACCTTCCAAACCAGTTTCTTGGTGGGGCTGTTGAATCATTGGTAGAGATATCTATATCAAAGTCAGCTTATATCACAAAATGCAAGAAAATCCATTACAAATGAGTAGCTAAACCAGGCAAATAGTGACAGCTAGTCACTTAAACACATGGTGTTTTCTGCTTTAGACACAAATTTTCTCTGTAATTTAGAAAAAGTTGTTCATCCTATCAACTTCATCATCCTGTCCTATAAAATAAAAGCCTAATATGCAAATCGACCAACAGCAGAACCAGCAGAATAACCGATCACTATGACACACATTGACCACTAGGGGGCAGACGCTCAATGCAGGAGCTGCCCCCAGCCCGTAGGCCCCAGGCCAGCCAAGGCCAGTGCCAGCAGGGGGGTCCCCCCCAATCGCCCCGCCGATTGCCCTACAGATCGGCCCTGATTGCCGGCCAGGCCTAGGGACCCTACCTGTGCGTGAATTTCATGCATTGGGCCTCTAGTATTCATTATAAAGTATTTGGAGCAAAGACATCTAAGGAAATGTGTTTGAGAAGAGGTTGGCTTTAAGTAAGCCGCCTTCATAATTGATATTCATAATTATTTCATGGACCACTTATGCTTTCTTTCAGGCACTGGCTTGCCCAAGAATATGTCTGGTTTTTGGTTCCATATATGGTCTACGACATCTACGCCATGTACCTTTGTGACTGGTACCGAATCAAGGAACAGAACCGCAGACACTCCCTCATGATTTTTCGAAACTTCCTAAGTAAAAACCGCCTCATGATCACGCACCATGTGGCCATTCTGTTGGTCCTTGTGCCAATTGCACAGGTATCAGCTGCCTCGGTCATTCATTTCTCCTGTTGATCTGGGTATCATGACCAATACTTAGGAGTCAGGATTGCTCCTCTTTTCCTTCATTTTCCTACTTCACCTGCTCTCGTATGCCAGCTGCTTCTGCAGTTAAATCCCCAGATTAATCATGTAGAGATGTGATCCTCCTTGCCAGCAATCCCCCAGCCCTTTATGATTCCTTAGTCTTTGCCAAAGGTTCTGTCTTTAGTTTATACAATATAAAGACAATATAAAATACAACATAAGAATTTTTAAAAATGAGACCCGTTATTTGCTCAGTCAACTGGTTATTTGCTCTGTGTGCATTATTATTTATGTTACAAAAGCAAGCTCTGAAAGCAAATAGCTGCATAATTTCTCCCTAGATCCATTTTTCCCATCAAAACTTGACCGAACAAGAAAGGGGAATGCAGAGAGGAAATTAGTATTTTTGAGTGCCCGCCAAGTGATAGGCACTTGATTTAAAAGCTCATAGCTTTCTGCTAATAATTAGAAATAACATTATAAATTGTTAGCCCTATACTGTGTATGCAGCCCACCGGCCACAAGTTTGACATGCTTGAATTGGGGCTCTAAGAGTTGATGTAGCTCACTCTGGTACTACTTGAGCTGCTATTCTATGCTGTACTATTTTCTTGAAAAGATACACAGGTACCGTGTACTACATTCTTTAAGAAGTCTCCCCAACAACTAGCACAAGGTTCTGACACATATTTTGTTGAACTGACTTGGCTAAGTGCCCTTGGCATGACTAAGTTAGAAACCCAAAAGTAGGCTGCAGAGTTCCTTCCGGCTGACATGGAAATTCTGAGAAAGCTTGGTGTGTGATGCAATCAGCTATCAGAAATTGCCTCTGGATCCTAGCAATTCAACCATCAAAGTTCCATAGTTTAATACCAAGAAGCAGCAGAATATTAAATGGGCCTACACTTGTCCATATAGCATTTCCCTTTCCCTTCATGGTCTGTCATGGTCTTTTTTAGCAGCCCTAGAATTTCCTTCCAGTGGTTCCTTAATCTGCATATCATAATTCCCTGTTTCGTCTTCTCATCTGCAGAGATTTAGGGGAGAGCTGGGGGACTTCTTCGTTGGCTGCATCTTCACGGCAGAACTGAGCACTCCATTTGTGTCGCTGGGCAAAATTCTGATTCAGGCACGTATGAATGAAATGGCAGAAACAGTGCCAGGGGGAGAGGGGGGTACAGACTGTGTGTTTCCTTGGTAGATTGTGAAGTTTAGAGAAATCCCTTAATACTAGGAATAGTGGAATAGGAGACCCTTGAACAGACTTAAAGGTCAATTGGTCTTCCAAGCCAGTGGGGACAAAATTGTAAGTTTGATTCAAATTTGATACAGTCCTTTATGTATTTTTTCCCAGGCCATAGATTTTCTCTCATCCTGTGTTCCTATCAGCTGGGGTGGTTTAGGTCGAATTCAGCATCACGGCTGAAACACCTACAAGGCTATATGCACATACAGATATGGCCATGCCCAATCAACTTTTCCAAGTGTTAGAAAGCTAGATGCCTGGACTTTACGGCTGTGGGACTTGAGCTAGTCATTTCCTGAAGGCCCAACCTCTTCGTGACTGCATTCTCCTTCCCTCTTTTGCAGCTAAAGCAGCAGCACACCCTTCTGTACAAGGTGAACGGAATCCTCACACTGACCACCTTCTTTTCCTGTCGGATTCTTCTTTTCCTCTTCATGTATTGGTCCTATGCCCAACAGAAGGACATAAGCCTGTTCCAAGTGCCATCCAGGATTCCTGTCTTCTGCAATGTGGCCAATGCCTTCCTCATCGCTCCCCAGCTCTACTGGTTCTCTCTGCTGTGCAAGAAGGCAGTCGGGCTCTTTGACACTCCCCCAGCCGAAAAGGATGGATAAGTGCTCCCTGGAGTCAGGCAGTGAGGGTGCCTCTTCATACTAGCTGCCTCTTTCACTCAGTATTCTACGGACCAAATTGTGCCCTGGATGGCCTCAGCCTTTTGGGTATTGATAAGTAGATGGGTAGTGAGTTTTTCTAAAGAATATTCGTATTACCTCCCTCTTCTAACCTGCCCCTTTGGCAAAAGCACTTTTTGTAATAACAACTATTGGATCCTGTCAGACCTCCATTGGCAGCAAGGTGGTTTTGCCCAATGATCCTTCTTTGGGTCTTATCTCAAGGGCTCTGGGAGGTAGAAGCATGGGGTGTGGAGACAGGTGAACCAGGATAAGTCCCTGGGCACCTAACTGGCCCTAATATTGGTGGCTACCCACCTTTCCAAACACTCAGGGCAATATCCACATATACTGGGCCAGCAGAAACAGTTCTTGACTTGGTTCTTGAAATAATTTCTTATGTTGGCCTGGGGAAACCATTGTGGGTAGATAGCTTTTCATTGTTTACTAGATAATCCACTGCCTCATCCATGTGCCAACATTGAATTCTTGTCATATGACTTCCAATCAGAAGTCGCATTAGTGAGGGTCGGGGTGGCAGGAGGCAGGGATGGGAACCTGAAGCGCTTGAGGAGGTAAAAGAGGTCTGCATCTTGGCAGGCTGACTGTAAGACCAGTGTCAAAGTTGTGAGTTTGTTGTCAACAGTCACAAATACTGTTCCCTTTTTGGCGTGTCCTTCCAAGCCCAGCTTTCCCCATATCCACACACACACAGGATGCTCTTGTTAAAAACTATAGTGGTAGAGTGAAAAGATGGCTACCAAGCTATTTATGAGCAACCCCACTCTTTGACACTGTCTTTTTCACATGAAGTGGAAATGGAGTTCTATATTCCAAACCATGAGAAGTCGCATCTACACTGCCTCCTAACAGAGCTTGTGGCCAAAAGCCTGTTCCCATTGAGTGCACCACCGTTTAGCCACAGAAGGCTGGAGAGCTAGAGTGCAAGACAGCCCTGGCCAAAACATGTCCTGTGAACCGACTCCTTCACTACCATGTGCAAATGGGATTCTCTGGTGCCAACACTAATCATTCCTTATCGACTAGGATGGGTCTTAGAAACTGCTACCATGAATTTTTTTTTTTTTCAGGTGGTAGTGAGAAGGTAGGTTTTAAAAAGTGCCTTTTGATTCATTGTTCTCCATTAACTTTTAAAGTACTGAATATGTAACAGTGACTCAAATGTTGACTATTTCAGTCTTTAATGGGTGCCATTTTAAAAATGCAAAATGATATATTTTTTTTTACTGGTTTGTTCACTGTCAGTGTATCTTGCATAAATCACCCCTGTGGTGATTAAATTGCACTAATATTTCCCAACTTACTCTCATTTGTGAAATATATCAATACCGACTTCCTGTAAGACCCATCCATGACCTGACTTGGCTGGCTGCTGTGTGGTATTGTTTCTGGTTTGTGTTCATATCCATGTAACTTGCAAAGCTGGGGGGTTGAGGGGAGGGGAATGTGTTAGTGCTGTCAGCCTCCAGGAAGGCCTACCTCAAACCTTACTCTAACACTGTTTCTGTGATTCATGGTTCCTGTACCCCAAGCATGTCAAACTCTCAGCCTGCGGGCCACATGCCTCGTTTATTTGGCCTGTGTTAGCCTTTGAGTTGACATGTTTGCTGTACACTGTAGGGTCCCAGAGTTCACGCCTAGTGGTCATGTAATTTTAGGCCCTTTTCTCTCTTTCTAGGTGAATTTCAATTAGGAGGTGGGAGGGTAGAAACCCAACTGTAGGCCACAGAGCTAGCCCACTTCAGGTGGGGGAGGGAACCTGAATGAGGTCCTATTTTGATTGAGGGCCTGGGTGTGAAGGAGGTATTGGGTATCTCCTTTTCCCTTTCTTGCCTCCCAAATTGAATGTCTAAGCAACCAGCGCTCATAGTTCTGTAAAATACCCTGCACACCTTAAATTTGTATTTTTATGCTTCTGTAGACATCATTCCCTGCTCCTCCTCATTTTTCAAAACTGTGACAATATACTCCAAGCAGAAGGTAATTACACTCGTCCTTTAAACACATCTCTGCTGTTTACCAGACCTAGTTTTAGTACAGCCCTTCTGGATACACCAAATGGATGGCGTTAAGGCTGTAGAGCAGAAGTCCTCAATTCAGAAGCCATCCATTTTCTTTAGGTCCTTAATCTACCCCCACCACTAAATTTTCTTGGTCCAACCTTCTTTTATAGTGCTGCTGGCCTTTTGGGCACACAAATCACCTGGCCAACTGGGAGAAGAAGAGAGTTATTTTCTTAATTGCTACCTTTTCCAAAAGACCACAAAATGACTCAAAGAGGGTTTCAGTGCAAAAGAACACACACATCTTATAATTTTTCCACTTGGGTATTTCACCTTTGAACTTACCAAATTTTAGGATGGAGAAGTCCAATTATGAACTTTCCTTGCAGCCTGATTTGATCTTTAAGACTCTAGCTGCACCCATATTTAAGCCTAAACTATTGATGAGAACGACTCAAAAGAAATAAGACAAACCTCAAAATGAGATTATAATTTGTGTTACAAATACCCAAGAAACTATTTTCTTTACATTGTTATTGCCATATACTTTTTAGCTTGTTTACAACTTCACATAACTGAAGTATTTTTGTTTCTCGGCTCTAGCCCCTATAGACCCCACCCTCATCAGCTGTTGTCTAATCCACAAAGGTCAGAAGTTGCTGATCTTCTGCAGCAGGGTCTGGCGCCGCTCCTCGGGGCTAATGTTCTTGGCAATGGACTTTAAAAAGTGCTGCTCATTTACCTTCTGGAGTAAGGCGCTGGTAGAAGGGTTGGTCTTGCTCAGAGTTTCATAGCAGGTGAGGATTTCCAAGGCCAAAACGTAGAGTGGTTCACACACCTCTTGGTGGAGCATGGCCATGATGTGCAAAACATGACAGAATACCTGAGTATAAAAAAATAGGGCTTCCTGGGTCAGGTCCTGTTCTTCTCCTTGGGCCCAAGGGCCAACTGACCGTATCAACCTAACTGAGTCCAGGAGGCTGGTCAGACTGCTACAGAGGAGTTTGACCACATGGCTCCAGCCTTCCATAGGAAGCCAATTGCGACAACTCTGGCTACAGAGAAACTGGAAAGCTCTCAGGAGTAGAACAGAGAGTTGGAGCTCCTGGGCCAAGGGCTTCAGGTTGAGCAGAGGAACAAACTGAATATATTCCAGGCTATAAGGGACATGTAGGAGTTGTTTCTCCAACAGTCTCCTGGTCAACTGGAAAAGGTACTGCCACTCCTGGGTACTGCACCAAGGCATGACTTGCACCAGGGCTACCAGAAAGCCCTTGCTGAACAATCTGACCTCCTCAGGGTTGTCCACACCCACCACTAAGAGGGAGAGCATCCGCTCGGAGATGCTGCTGGAGAGGCAGCAGCACTCCATCCAGGCAAGGAGCCCTGTGCCGGGCCCATACCCAGGGTGGGCCTGGGAGGTCCATTCATCCTCAGAAAGCTTACAGATCTCAAAAAGTGTGGCTGGCACCTCACACTTGAAGTGGCCCTCAAAGAAGTTCTTCAGTCTCAGGTTCACAGTCCAGTCTAGCTGCTCCAACTTCCGGTGGAGCCAGGACAGGGACTTGATCCAGGTGTCTGGGGAGAAGGTCTCGGCATTTGCTAACACGATCTCACAGAGGAGCTCCAGGATATGGACCACCATATCCTTCCCATCCAAAGAGAGGCAGCGCTTCTCCTTGGGGAGCTGCCAGTATTTACTGAAGCAGTCCAAGAGCTGGCACAAGCTGAAGATGAGGGGAAACGGAGAGCAGGTTTGGAGCCAGTATTCCTCTAAGCAGGCATTTACTTCGAGGGTCTGAATAAAGATCTTCAGACTGAGGTCCACCTCTTCAACATCTAGCATCAAGAAAGGCAGGACGAATTCCCTGAGAACCTCATCTGGCTCAAGAAGGGCCGCAACTGGAATCCCCTGGGGTTTCACGGGACTCATCAGGCATCTCAGGAGCTCCAAAAACTGCTTTTCTTCCTTGGGTGTAGAGAACTTTGTCCAGACGGTTTCTCTGAGGCATGACACGACGAACGTGGTGGACGGATTTGGACCCTGCTCTTCCGTGAACCTGAGGGCTGGGAAGGCGGTGAGAATCTGAGCCAGGAACTTGTGGGTACCGAGATTGACCACAGCCATGCTGCACATTTTCTTCACGGTGATCTCTGGGTGCAGTATCACCAGGCGGGCCACAGAAGCTACAGCCTTAGCCAAGCCCTGTTCGGAAGCACTCTGTGCAAGCTGGTTAAAGGTCGTGTTGAGGTCTTCCTGAAACCCCTCCAAGTAAGCCAACAACTTCTCAGAGAGGCCCTTTCGCCCCCAGGCAACCAGGACACCTGAGAGGACTTTATTTTTATCTGGCAGTGAGAGGCCTGCGTAACATTCCAGGATCAAGTCAATCACTTGTTTGACCTGAGATTCAGGGATGGCTCTGTCTGTCATGCTGACTTCCACCACAGTTTCCAGCAGCTTTAATACCAAATCTGGCTCTCGGAAGAGAGACTGGTTATTAACCAGGCAGGCGAGCCACTCATCTGAGAAGGCCCACTTCTTCTCAGAAGCAAAAATGTAGCACATTTCCATGTGCCGGTCCATCTTTTGCTCAATAATGGCCATGGCAATCGAGGCAGTAATGTCTTTCTCCAAGCCCTCGTTGAGTACCTTGTTCGTTTTCCTCAGGAAATCCCCGACGCACTCTGCCAGTTCAGAAACCACCTGCCTCTCCTCCTTGGATAAGCTGGTGGTACCCAGGTAAAGCTTCAAGTTCTGGCTGAAAGAAGTCAGACTGTCACACAGCCGGTAACTGTCATAATTTGTCCCATGGGTGCTATTGAGCATGGCCTGCAGCTCCTCCCCCCACTCCCGCAGAAGACTGCGCATGAAGTCAAACCCGGCAAAAATCGTTTCATTCGGGAGTCTGGCCAGCGAGCTCAGGTTGACATCCCGTTCTGCCTCCTTTACCTTCTCTGCCAGTGCCTGCTGGTGATATGGGTTCTGGGTGTCCGAATTCCACACGGATATCACCGTGGCCAGTTTGTCTAGATACACATGTGCAGACACTTCCTGAGGGTCATCCTCCATCAGTGCAAACACGGTCAGCATATCAGCCAAATTGGCTAATGCACAGCACTTCATCCCAGGGCCCAAGATTCTATTTTGGATTTGCTTCAGCCCAGTGAGCAGCATGGCCAACAAAGGCATGGTAGGACACACATCAGGGTCTGACTTAAACCTCTTTGGAGGATGGGAGAACTCATCTGAAGAGGATATGTACTTATTAGCCATTGTCCTAAACTGAGAGAGCAGGGGGTCCTGCTGATTGTCCTTGTGCTTCATCATTTCCCACCAGACATCGAGGAAGAAGGCCACATCCTTTGAAGAAGTATCAATAGCCATGTGCTCCAAAAAGCGCTCTAGTTCTGCACGGCAGATGGTGGTAGGGAGGGCCATCAGGAGCTGGATAAAGAGTCCAGAAGCTTCCAGGGACTTGAGCAGCTCAAAAAGAACTGTGTGATTGATGGTAGGGATCATGTTGCCTACTGAGAAGAACACATCTTCCTGCCACCGAGTTTCAGTGTCAGAAGGGGTGACGGGGTAGGGCTGAAGAACCTTGGCCCAGATGATGACCAGAGCTTTCCTCTTCCAGGTAGAGGACTGGGAGCATGCTGTGGCAGAGATTTCCCTCAAGGCCTCCACAATGGGCCGCCCAACATGCTCCCAGTCAGACTTTGTCAATTCTGCCAGTGCTTTGGGGTGGAACAGCTGCTCGGCCAGCAAAAAACCCCCATGCAAAATAGTCATTTCTTCACAGATATTCAAGGGTCCTGCACGGAGAGAAGCCGAATAAGATAGAGTATGGTGACAAATTTCAAAATAGTAAGCAGAGGTTAGAAGGAAAGATAGCAGTTGGTAGGCTGGCTGTTGGGATCAGGGTTAGAGATAAAAGTTCTAAATAGGATCAGTGGGAGAGGGGGAAGAAAGCAGTGATTCTAGGAGCCACTGCAGTGTTGGAGTAAAAAGGACTTACCTGAGGAATAGAAAAGGACTCCCAAACTCTAGCTTGGAACTGGGAAGACAACAGGCACCATTGGAGATAGGGACACAGAAGACTCAGAACAGATTTGGAGGGAACCTGTTAAGTTTTGGTTATTTGGAGTTTGAGGTAGAAATTAAGGTAGAAATGCCCTCCAGCAATGGAAATGCAAGGCTGAAGCTCAGGAGGAAAGTCAGAGGGGATCAATGGAACCAATGAAGTGAGATCTCACAGGAAAAGCATTTGAAAAGGAAAAGCTGGGCTACAGAGGCTAGACCAGCCGCGGGCAAACTACAGCCCGGATTCGGCCCTTTGAAATGAATAAAACTAAAAAAAAAAAAAAAAAAAGACCGTACCCTTTTATGTAATGATGTTTACTTTGAATTTGTATTAGTTCACACAAACACTCCATCCATGCTTTTGTTCCAGCCCTCTGGTCCAGTTTAAGAACCCATTGTGGCCCTCGAGTCAAAAAGTTTGCCCACCCCTGGGCTAGACCCTCCAGCAAAAGATGGGCCAGCAGAGGATTTGGGAAAGATGGGTTTAGAGAGAAAGCACAATGACAGTTTCAAACTACAGGGACCACAAAATATATATTGCAGGGCATGAAACTGAGCTTATAAATTATGATACAAATTAAAACGCACATGGCCCAGGGCCGTGGGCACAGAAGCACGCAGACAAACCCTACCTTCCCCCTCTTCTCTCATAGCCTTGCCCTGCAAACAGATTTCCACTGTTCTGCCTTTCAGGGAAACAATTCATCCCATGGCTTCTTCCAACAAAAACAGCTACTCATGGTCCTGGTTCTCTGGTAGAAACCACGGGGTAGATAGAAAAAATAATGCACTACATTAAGTTCTCCCTTCAGTGACCCACAGACTTATCAGTGAACTGACACATATTTATCAAGGAAGGCATCTTGGTCTGTCTAATCAGACATGAGTTTAGCTCAGCCATTTAAAAGCAGTCATCTTGGAGAAATGACTTCTCTGAGCACCCCGTCGGTTTATGTGGGGATAATACAAACTTCATATAATGATCATGAAGATCCAATGATATATGCTAGTCAAGCTCTTGGCACTGGGTTGGTGCTTACTGTTAGCTCCTGATCCCACCTCCCAGAGATAGTGAGAGTTAAACAAGATATAGCTACAATAAGAATCAGGAGTCAAAGAGCCTGATGAAGTGCTCAATAAATGTTTTCCCCCAAACCTTTCTATTTGACAAGAACAGAATCTTGTCAGTATTCTTGGCCTCCCTGAACTCAGAAACATGAAAAGACAGACCTTTCTCAGGTGTCTCCTTTGCCCAGAAACGAAGTCAGATCCCAAATACTGCTGCTCACTAATCAATATTCCTGTCTCTCCCCTTTCCCAGGACCCAGAGATGCCACCCCTTTCTCAGTCCTTCATATCCCCAAGAACCCATCTTCCCAGACTCCTGATTCCAGCAGATTAAAGAGTATCCTGCTCCTTGGACCATTTTTGGGAGCAGCAAAAAGGCGAAGAGCTCAATCAGCACTCCTAGGCAGATCCTGGGGGAGCAATCCACCGTGGCCCCAGTGGCGAGGCCGACTCCCACCCAGGGCTAGGTTGCTCAGGGAGCTCTGGACCCTCTTTCTAGCTCAGGCTCCTGTCCAAGGCACCAACATATGTTCCCTACGGTTCTGTAAAATGAATGTTACTGCACTATCGGTTCAGCTGAGATGTCTGGCCTCTAACAGCTATTGTCCAGAGAGACTCAAGTATAAGTCCCAGGAGCAGTTAAAAGCTGGGTAATTCCCCAGTGTTTTGTCACTACTGGTTAACGGTGCTTCTGAGTGCCGGCGCCTTTATATGTACTGAGCGCTGCTTGTGCCAGGCGGCACTCATGTAAGGTTCCTTTAAGTCTTCATGCCAACCTTTTGAGGATCATATTACTCCCGTTTTAGAGACGGGAACATGGAGACTCAGAAGCCATTTGCTCAGGAGAGCGCAACTACAAAGCTGTTGGGCAGAATCACCACAGCTGTAAGGCTCTGGGGGCGCTGGGGGAGGCACCCACGGGGAGCCAGAATGCTAGGCCTCCCCACCACCGCCTGCCATGCACAACTTGAGCGCTTTTTGGAGCACGCGGCTATTGGTACAAAGTGAAGAGCTGGCTGGGGCCAAGGACCAGAACTTTTCTCCACGGGCCCAGTATTGCTGGCACACCTTGGGGTGCCTCCCCCAGCTCCCCCAGAGCCATCTCCTAGTCCTATCCCCTTAGGAGCATGTCCAGAAGGGTAAAAAGCTGGGCCGGGAGCCGCTGATTTATAGCAGCTCCACCCTCCCTTCTTCCAAACTTTGCCTCAGGATTCTGAATCAAGGCGCACGTGCACTCTGCAGCCACAACCCTTCCCACAACCGCTAGTCTGATGAACGCCAGCTCCGTGCAAGGCGCTGCACCGGGCGCTGTAAACACGTGATCTCAAGGAAAACTCCCCCAAACTCTGCAGTGGATACATTATCATCTCCGTTTTACTGTATCTACGAGGACCGCTTGAGCCTAAGTCACTTGCTAAAGAACTCATCAGACATCCAACTAATGAGACCGTCGGGCACCCGGGGTCCCCCCGAGCGTCCTCCCAGCCCGGCAACTCCCAAATCACGCACCCTCTTTACTTTCAGGGAATCTTCCCTTCACAGCCGTTTGGCGCTTCACGTGGAAAGGGCCCCAAGGGCCCCAAAGCCGCGCGGCCGGGGCTGGAGCCGGGTCTCCCGACCCCCCGGTCTCCGAGGAACCCCCTGCTCTCCAAACCGCCCCCCAACCCGGGGTCTCCCTCAGCCCGGGCCGCTCGGCACCGC